ATGGGATTAAGAAGATCTAAATTTGGTTTTAAGTTCAGAAGAAATTTAACCCTTTTTAGATTATGAAATTGAACAAATATGCTATTTCCTCCCATAAAATGGTTTATAATAATAATATTGTTATTATTACTATAAAAAAGTTTTTTAAAATTCAAAAAATTCAAATTTACCCAATAAAAATTTAAACATATGTCACATGATCACCGGTTTGTTATTGTTTGTTATTGTTAAAATAATTTTGATCCCTGTAATTTGGTTTTGTCCCATATTAATAATGTTTCGAATCTGCTGAATCTATTTGGTTCAACAATTTAAAAACATTTCAATTTAAATTTATTTTTTTTTTAATATTTAATATTAATTTTAACATTATTTTTTATTTTTTACAATTTGCAAAAAAACAAAATTTAATTATATTTATATGATGAGTAGTAGTACTTCTGTACTTCAGTAAGTTATTTTAGCAAAAATATTGATTTCAGATCATTTTTCACGTCAATATATTTTATTTAAATATTTCAATGACTACATTAACACTCACATTCACACAACAAAAATGTTTATTTCTTTAAGGAAAATATTTCGTAAAGTATTTTTGAAAAAACGCAAAAAAACAAGAGGACGTTATATTAGAAATAGTAGCAGTGGGAATAATCTTAAAAGACAAAATGACAACAATAATAATAGTAGTAGGAGATCTACAGCTAATGATGTAGATATCAATAATGGCAATGATAATAGTGATGGTAACAATAACAATAATACATCAAATTTAAAATCGCAAACATTATCAATACCATCAACGACAAATGGAAGAATTAGTAGTTATGGTGGTGATAGATTAGGTAGTGTTAACTCGCAACGCAGAGATTGGCGTAGTGGACATAAATTAGTTGATAACTTGATTCAAGGAATTAGATTAGACTTTCCTTTTCCATCACACCATTTGTCTTGGATACCTTTTGACGAATTTGTTGGCTTGAAATTTGTCTCACGTGGTGGATTCTCGGCAGTTTATGAATCAAAGTGGACAAATACTGATCAAACTGTTGCTTTGAAATGTTTAGATGGATCTCAAGATTTCAGTACTGACTTCTTAGACGAGGTTTGTAATAAATAAGTAAATTTTTTAAAAAAAATTATATATATATATATATAAGTTTAATTTTTTCATTCATTCACCGTCCAAATAATTAGATAAAATCACACTGGGGTTTATTTTCACAACCTCAATTTTTACATTGTCATGGTATAACACAATTACCAAACAGTCGTGAATTCATGATGGTTATGCAATACGCGCCATTCGGTGACCTACGTTCACACCTTCAGAAAAATCGTATTTTTACCTGGAAAGAAAAAATTCGAATACTCAAACAAATTGCCAGAGGTTTTGCCGAAATGCACAAAAGAAATCTTATTCATGGTAATATACATAGTGGTAACATATTGAACATTGATCGATCACATTTTGTGATCGCTGATATTGGATTGTGTGGGCCAGCTAATAAAACCCTTAGAAAGAAAAAAGCAATTTATGGAGTACTTCCTTACATTGCGCCAGAACTTCTTAAAGGTTACGAATATACCAAGAAATCAGATATATATAGTTTTGGTATTATTATGTGGGAAATCAGTGCAGGGATTAGGCCATTTTCAAATAGTGCTCATAATTTAGAATTGGCAAAAGATATTTGTAATGGTAAAAGGCCTCCAATTCCGATTGGTACACCAGAATTCTACTCAAAGCTCATGAACAGTTGTTGGGACACCAATCCTAATAAACGTCCTGAAGCACATGATGTCCTAAAAACTGTTTATCATTGGCTGGTAAATGATTCACTTGATGACTATTTAAGAAAAGGGGGTGGATCAACGATATCATTTAGTAATACGGGTAATGATCGTATAAATCCAGAAGCTATATATTATAGCCGTCTATTGGAATTTCCCGAGTTGAAAGACACAAAACCACAACATCAACCTTTAAGTATTTCAACACATCCTTTATCAAGTAAATAATAATAATTTGATAAATACTCTAATGAATAAATGAATAAATGGGGGGTTTTTCCTGACAAATTATTTATATTTTATTTATTTATATAGATGATAAGCTTGACACGTCTAACGATTATATTTATTCCGATTCTCCTGAAAGTAAGTTAATTTCTTATATTATGTATGACGTATATGTATATTATATTAATTTTATTTGTCATCATTGCATCAGGGCAATCTTTTCTTGAAGTTCTCAATTTGGATCGTCCACTATCATCTGGTAAACTTTTTTTTAATTTTTTAAATAAAATATATAGATATGTGTGTATGTATTAATAATATACGTTAAATATTCTATTTATTATTATTAGTTTATTCGTTTACATCTACTCAGATTGATAACAATAAAGATGATATTCGTTCAAAATTAGGTGAGTGGAAATGAAAAATATAAATGATAAACATAAATATTTTTAATTATTTTGTAATAATGAATTTTTTTTAGACTCATTAAATAATAAAAGGACAAGTGTCACTTCACCAGATGGTAATTTCATTTAATTTTAATTCTTTTAATAAAATTTGAAAATAAAGATTTTTTCTAAAAAATTTAATAAATAATATATAGATTTAGCAGCTTTACAAACCTTTTGGACTATGGATGGTCATAATTCTAAAAATCAAAGGGAACCTATTTCAAATTCTTCATAATAATTTATGCATGCATATAAACATACATACACTCATTCAATGTACATTACATTAATTACATTAATTGTTATTATTATCATTGTTGTTATCTAGATTAGTAGATTTATAGACAAAATATAAAGTAATTTGAGATAAAATAAATCCCTGATGGATTAGAAATTTCATGGGTTAGAGAGGAGAATATGGGTTGGGTTCATTTATCATTAATTTACATACAAATTAAAGAAGTAATTGGAAGAAGAGCAATCGTGGGATGTTTATTATATTTGATTATTACTTAATGTTTTAAAGAATTTATATCAATAATAAATAATCATAATTATGATGATAATAAATAATCATTCATTATATTCATTTTATTACCATATATGAGGCAGGCAGACTGTAACAAACCAGGTGAACATAATGCACCAAAAATTTCATATTAAACATGTCTCTCTCTCCTTTTTAATAAATGGTTAATCGATGTTCCAGCTTGATTTATTCTTATTATATACATCAAATTGTTTGTCCAGAGAAAAATATGCATTACAATATTTTATTTGGTTTGAAATAATTTACTATATTTTTTAATGTGTAATTGGAAGTTATGTAAATAATCAATCACGAGTTTGGTAGATAGACGTTTGGTGACATAAAAAAACCAATCGCAAATTTCTCAGTAAATTTAACAGAATATTTACGTTTACTTTTATGGATCATTGACTGGGATTTTTTCTTGGCTTTTTACTTTATTATAAAAATTTACAAGGACCGGCTTCATAATGAAATAATTGATGCATTGAAGCCTGGAAAAATCAAGTAAACTAATTAGTAATTAAGAGATTTTAAATGCTTATTTGATAATAATAAGAAAATGGCTGAGCAGAAAGATGAAAAGCCAATTCTAGAAAAAAAAGCAATTATAAGCAATAAGAGATGGAAGTTACTATGACAAAGGAGAAAATAAAACTATGACAATAAAAAAAGTAGCGAATGTGTAACATAGATCTGTATCATAAATGTCGCTCTCCTATATTTTAATACATAAAATACCATATATCCTTCTATGTATTAATCCTTTTTTTTTTGTGATGAACCCTTGTCTCCCTCATGAATTTTCTTAAATTTATAAAGATTGACTTATAACAAGTGAGTTGCATCACTCGAATAATAATAACACTAAAATGAAACTTTAAGAACCAATTTCAAATTTCTCCCCACGATTGTATATAGTAATAGAGTTCCTTAAAAATAGCTAGCAATTCGATCATCTATGATTAAAAAAATCAAAATTAGTTATGGGTATGAATCAATTTGCAGATTTGTTTGTTATGTGTTAAAAACTATAGTGGAGTTGTATGATGGATGAATACCCTTATGAGATTTATTTTCATTTGTTTGAAAAATGGAAATGCAATGTTTCAGGCCAGTATGGCAGGTCTGCCAGATAACTAGATTTTTACAATGTACGCTCACTAGTGTTCATCAGGAAGTTTTTCCCATCATAATATTGAATTTTGCAAGTTTTACTATATAATGTTGTAATATTGTCAGAAAAAAAATCATAATGATTAAAATTGCATAATAATGATAAACCCTTTTGAATTTCGTATCATATTATAAAAACTATTACTGTACTCAAGTGTCCTAGTACAGTTTTATTTGCTTTGAAAAAACTGGTACAAGTCAAGCATTAGAGCTTTTGATGGCTAATAAGGCTACTGCTCAATTAAAGAAGTTCTTTTTAGAATAAATGACCAATATTATTATGATCGATAATAGCAGTCAAGCAAAGCATGAAAATCAATAAAATATTTATTTTGAAAGCCTTTTGATTTGTGATATAGATTTGGCTCTTTAGTGATTCATGAAACTAAGAACCAATAAAAACATTCAGTGGTAAAAGTAAAGCATTTTTATTGAATATTCATTTTTTAAAAAAAATTTATTTGTTATAGTGGAGTTATTGAAATGGGTAATCTGTAGTTTGATATTTTTTTAATGTGAAAATGGGCGAATTGATTGTCTTTATAAACAACTCTTATGCTTATACCACTATTGATTGAGTGTAATTGTTTACTTACCTTGCTTCTAATGTAAATCAAATAAAAAAATTCAACCAGAATTTTTGATTCTTTTTTAAATCAAACGCCCATTGATACGTTAATTTATTTTTACGGATGATTGTGATGTTAAACAATTTTGATCCCTGAAATTTCTTTGTGATACAAATTGTTTTCTAGTGATCTGCAACATCGTGGCCAAGATATTAATATTAATATTAATATGGAAAAATTTAATCGGAATTGTTTAATTGGTTATCCATAATTAATTAAATACACTTGAATACATTGAATCTATTAAACCAATTATATCTAAAAATTTCATGTTGTAGTATGTGAAATTTATATATAACCTTTGATTTTTACATTTCAAAACAAAAACACAACATGTAAATAGACTTATTACATAAACAAGTCGAATATTCGAAAATCAATTTATTCAAGGATATTCGAATATATACATAATTATTTTGGGTACTCGTAATCATTTTGAATATTCATAATCATTTCAAACATTTCTTATAATATTGTAACAATTCACAAATGATTGATTATTAACTTATTTGTAACTATATAATAAACATTTTTCAAAGATAATAAAGATAATTATATTTTTTATAACAATTAAAATATTTGTTCAGAAAATATTAAAAAGTAATTCTTTCAAAACCCTAATACTTCAGGAACTACCAATTGTATAAATATTTTTAAAATGTCATAATATTCTTACACCTGATAAAAAACGATGGTAATTTTTTTATAAATACTGATTTGTACGATAATATAATTTATTATTATTAAATAATTTTTTTTATATAGTTTGAAATGAACAAGTCACACGAATTAATTCTTATTCATTTTTTCTTTAATTATCAGGGCTATCATCAAAATTAAATAACCGAACACCAGGCTTTTTTGGATAATGTGGAAACAAATCTCCCCAATTTGATTTACGTGCATCTCGATATATCAATCTGCCTTGAGATTTTGGAATAATAATTCTTTCAATAGATCCTTTTCAGTTATTATAATATTATTAATAATGAATGTATTTATAAAATTAATTTATTAGAAAAAATAATAAATGCATTGATATTATTAGAATCATTACCATTCTTTGAACAACAATCCAATAATACATGTTCACCACGTTTAATAGGTGGTAAGATGAGACGTGACCAATTATATGCTTCATGAACATGATCTGCCGATCTGGTTGATTCAACTGATTCTACTGACTTGGACAATTCTGCTGACACCATTGATTTGGGACGTTCTCCTTTTCGAATAATAACATATGTATACTTTGACTCTTCATAATTCGAATGTTTAGAATTCTTTACTTTACTCTAAAAATTTCAAATTTCAATCATTAATTTTTTGATTTATAAACTTTCCCTTTACCATCGGAGAATATTTTTTCATTGACTTACAAAATAACCAGGTCGATTTATTTTTTGTGAAAAATGGCACCAATTTTTTGAATTTTGTAAAGGACATTGACCATCATGTGGACACTAGAATCAAATAATTGGTGTAAACATGTAAAAATCTGTGTAAAAAACTAAATAAATAATAATAACTGTCTTACAGGTGCAACAACATGTGCACAAATATCTTTATCATTATTATTTTCTAATTGTTTATCATCATCTTTAGTTATCAACCATTTATTTGCATTTTTTAAAATTTTTGATCTAGCTTCTATTATAGCTCTAAATCCAGTTGGTGTTCCCTTCTCTATCAACACCTTGATTATATTTGTACATGTGAGATTGATAAATGTATAATATTTTTCAAAATCATAATTACTTATTATTACCAAAACATCATTTGTTCTTTTCCATAAATCTTCCAAAATTGAGTCAATAATTTTAATGTTTGGTAATTCAGTTAGTGTGAATGCGCTTATTACAAGATCATATGTGGGTTGCTAATGTAATAACAATAACAACAAAAACAATATTTATTATAATTAAATTATTTTACTATAATATTAATTATTATTGATATTGAAATTACCTTTGGAGAAAATGTCAAATAATTTTTAAATTCAATATTTTGTATTCGATCTTCTTGAGGTTGTACTGTAAATAAATAAATAAATGCTAATATCAGATAAATATTAAAAATAGTTTACAAACATTTTGTTTAAGAGATCATACATGATAATAATGTTTCTGCAGTACGTAGCATTGACTCTGAAATATCAACTCCTAAATATTTTTCAATATTCTTCCCCCATATTTCATTTATGGCCCTGTATTATTTAGAAATAATATATTCAATCAGGACATATTAAAGCACATCTACACAAATCCTCAAATATCCTAAACTCGACATTTTTCCATTTTTCTCTCTCTCTGTATAAATATACCAACCATATTGCAGTACCAGGACCAGTACCAAAATCCAAAACACTTTTTGGTGAAAAATCTGGAATTCTTGTGCTCACTTCTGTTAGAACATTAAATGTTGGTCCATAAGTGACCGGTAGATAACCTGCTATATATGCTATGGATTCACGTTCACCATACTCGAGTACATGAGGGATTGATGTCTCATTTTGGGAACTTCTTTTGAACTTTTGGATTGCATCCTTACAAGGTCCAAATAATGGCTCTTATATTATATATTTATATATGCACACAAGTATACATGTATAAATAATACAAAATAACATATAATAATTACATGTGAAATTACCTTTCTTTGATTCCACTTTATTTTTTATTTCATGACCTGTTCTTGATCTCAAAGATTTATATATACGTAAAACATCATATTGAATTGTAGAAAGCTCTCTGCCTTTTTATTAAATATATTAATTAATTATCATTACCAGTTAAAATTGAAAACATCAAATAAATGTTCAAACAGATCACCTTCTAAAATAGTTTTAACACCATCAGACAACCAATTAGGTAATAAAGTCCACCCAATCTTTTTACTTCCAAATTTTGCAGCCTCTGATTGTCTAATCAACTCTTTTTCCGACTGTTGATCTTCATTTTTTTCTATCATTGCCAATTCATCATCATCTTTTTGTTTTCTTATTAACGATGATGATTTAGTAGTATTTTTTTGTAATGATGATGCTGCAATATCATTCATAATCTCTAGAAACTTTTCATTTCTGGGAAGAAGGATGCAGGAGAATTAATTAATTATTAACACTGCACTGCTATTATTCATTGTTTCTTTTCACCTTACTTTATGATTTTTTCTACATTATTTTGTGGTGTTTTTTTTGTTATATGAAGATTTCTTGAAAACCATGTAAATGTACTAATTTTATTTAATGCCATCTTATCAAATATTTTTACAAACAAAATTTTTATATATGCTTGATCTACCAATCAAATTACAACTAATCATGTGGTTTGATTTTATCTGAAATCACGTTAGCTTTAACACAAGTTGTAACTTTTACATTTTTTATTTGTTTGATCCTAGTGATAGAATTATTCTTGGCTTGAATATTTAATCATTAAGATTATCTTTTTTAAAAAAAGGCTACACTGACCAACATCACCTCAAAGGTTATGTGTGATGTAATGGATCATTTGGGCGGGGGTGGGCTACTGAATTTTGGATTTTGCATTTGGGTTCTTTGTTCTTTTTTAAAGAGCTTCTTGAAGCTTATCCTATGTTCTCCTATTTCGGGTTCTTGAAAATGGCATTTGGATAGGAATGATATATGTGATGATTAATTATCATTGAACACATTAGAGGCCTGCATTGGTCATATAATTAAACCCGCGCCCAATCCAGACCAACCAGCACCAACCCAGTTTATAAAAGATCAAAAAAATTTTATTTTTTATTAGGTCTTTTTTTTTCACGAATAAATAATTATTTAAATTCGCATTTCAACGAATTTTACACACTAGGTAATCTCGTTTTGAATGAAATTTCTCATTATTATATGTCCGGCCATTCGTTGTAACAAGGTTTATATGTACTGTATTACAAAGCAAGTTTCTATTCGTAATACAAATTCTTGTTCGTAATCTTAATCGGTTTATTCATTTTATTTGAATTGTTTTATCGAATTATTTTATTCGTTTATTAAAATAGAAACCCTATTACTATTGTATGATACAATTTTTAACACACTGATATATGTATCGACCCGCATTCATTAATTATGACCATCCGAACTCGACCCGCGGGCTGGGTTGCAGGTCGGATCCCACTGCAGGCCTCTATAACATATTAATTATATCAAAACCTTAAATTCTTTAAAGAAATTTTACCTCTAAATAAAAACATACAACATGGTGAAAGGGAGTAAAGGTAGATAGATGTCAACGATAATTGTATATTATTTTTTTATATTTTAAAATGATTTTGCCATACGCCTATTTGTTAAGGATTAATTATGCATCCACACAACGCATAAATTAATTTTGTATGTGAAAAACCTTTCTTTTCTTGGTAATGGATATTGGGGCTCGTTTACAAAGTTTCTGAAAAACAATATGGAACTTGATACTAACCATTATAATAATAATAGTATATTCTGAACCTTTTGATTTTACCGCATTCTGAATAACCTACTAACGATAATTTTGCTGGTATGAACCTTTCGTCACATTTTGAACAACCTCCTGATGATACGTAAATCTTTCGCCACATTCTGACTAACAATAATTTTGTCAATATGAATCTTCTAGTTATCAATATAATCTGGAACTCTTAGTTATGTAGTAACATCTATTGGTTGTATCCGCCGAATGGGATTCATCGATTATCCATCGATTATCTGGTTAATCGGGTGTTGAAATTTTTCATTGATAATTAGTCAGTCTGATGTTAAATTTTTATTCGCGTAATTGAATGAAGTTTTTTTTAATACATGTAAATACTATTTTATCCACCATTACACTATCACCAACATTCATTCTATTATAACCATATACTGTAATATATCAAGTAATATGAACACCCAACTGTGTCATTATTAGCTAAAAAATATTTTTGTATTGCAGCAACTTTTAATCCAAGTGAGCGTTTATTTAGTGAAGCTGGAAATACAATGACAGCCAAATGAACAAAATCGAATCCATTATTATTTGAAAGAATTGTATTTCTTAAAAAATATGCAATCATTGAATATTTTTCTTGATGAATAAATAATTGTTATATTTTAAATAAATTTGGATCGATGAATATTCAACGGATATTCAACGGATATTCAGTGGTTATTCGCATTCGGTGAATGGCCGATTATCCGGTACCATGGCCAACCCTGGTTTATACTTTGACTGGATCAGCCAAATTCATGAATCATAATCTTGTGATAAAATGAGTTGTTGCAAAATTTTCGCATTTCTATCAGTATTTATCAATTACTCACAAATTTGAGAATACTCCATGTATATAGGCGCTTGTCATAATCACTCTTTTGATCGTACATAGTTAAATTGATGCCATTGTTGACTACCTTTCTCATATCTTCAGCAGAAGATAATAATCCGCTCCTCGATTTTATTCTAAGCAAAGCTCTCGAATTATTCTCAACCAACAATATTTACTCTGCGAGTTGCTTTTTGGGATGTTTTCTTGATTCTTTTTGTTGTAGTAGATTTCATTGTATAATTTTAAAATTTTTTTTCTAAAAGTCAAGTTAATTATTAATAAACTAGAATGGTGACAGCCACCATTATTTTTAAATTTCCCTTTTCCAACATCACTTCTGATGTATGTTTGATTTTCTTTAACATTTGATTCTTTGACCATTTTTTTTAAAAAAAATCAAGGTGATCTCAATTAATGACACCTCATATAATAAAATAATAATAATGTTTGTGTCGACCTTTTCCTGGATGATAAAACATATGCAGGGATAAGTTCTGACAAAATTTAATAAAGGAAGGCCTTCTCCAAAAATGGCTTGTGAAAGAAATCTTCAAGCGAACATTAACCCAAAAACTTATTTTTAAAAAAAAATAGATTTCTTAACATTAATGTTAATTTTATCCTTGAAAATATCATTTGAATCATCTTTACAGGAAACTCAATAATATTGTGGTTGCCCATTGAATATATATGTTAAGATGTTTAGCATGTTGAAGTATAGTCGGTCGCATTACAATTTAATTATAAAGTCTATTACTATCTGCGCCCAATCTCATTAGGTTTGTAGATCACGTATTTTTTTAAAAAAAAAAAAAAAAATGAATAATCAACAAAAAATATTAAAATATTCAGGACATAATTATTTTCGACAAAGATTAATCTTGGCAACTTTGAGTGGTAAAATAGTTAAAATAGAAAAGATCCGACCAGATCATGAAGATTTAGGAATAAAAGGTTTATTTAACTTTTAAAATAATAGTGTATTATTTGAATATGTGGGTGAATTGTAACTGATTTTCTTCTTGAATAGATTTTGAGGTGAGTTTTCTGAGATTATTAGAAAAGGCAACAAATGGTTCATCAATCGAAATCAGTTATACAGGTCATTATTAATACAATATAAAGATATTATTGAATGCATCAGAGAAAACTCATTTCTTCACATTCACATTCATACATCCATATCATTTATTTCTTCATTTTCTTCAGGTACCTCTGTATTGTATAAACCAGGAGTGATAACAGGCGGTAAAATATTTCATGAGTGTAGTAATACTCGTGCAATAGGATATTATTTGGAACAAATCATTGCTTTAGCACCTTTTGCAAAAATACCATTTGATTTGACATTAACAGGAATAACAAATGATAATAATGATATTTCTGTTCGTATATATTATTCATATTTATTGTTTTAATTCGTTTTTCTACGGTCACAATATTATATTAATTACGATGATGATGATGATTATAGATGGATACATTACGAACCGTCACCATACTACAATTAAAAAGATTTGGAATTGAGGATGGAATTGAATTAAAGGTTAGATAGATACTTGCTTGATTTCTAATTTTCCATCTAACTTGACAAATTTATTTTTAAATAAATATCCAGATTTCTAAACGTGGATCGCCACCACTTGGAGGTGGAGAAGTAACATTTAGAAGTCCAATTGTAAGAGCATTGAAACCAATGCAATTCATAAACGAAGGTCGAATAAAACGTATACGAGGAATTGCGTAGTGTATATTTTTACTACAAATTTTCTATAATCTAAGAAAGTTTTTCCTGAGTGAATGAACGATTAATTTATTGATTGATTTATTTATTTTTATTAGGTGTTGTACAAGGGTTTCACCTCAAAATGCTAATAGGATGGCAGAATCTGCAAGATCAATTCTAAATAGATATATTCCTGATATTTATATTTATACTGATGTTTACAAGGGTGAAGAATCTGGAAAGTAAGTAAAGATTACACTGTTTTATCAACTCAATATTTATTTGTGTGTTCCAATCTTCTAATAGGCTTATTATTATTATTATAGATCACCAGGTTTTGCACTGTCGTTGGTTGCAGAATCAACCACCGGAGCTCTAATGTCAGCAGAACAAGCGGCAAATCCCGGCGAAACACCAGAAGATATTGGACTTAGAACTGCAAAGCTTTTATTATCAGAAATACTTTTAGGAGGATGTGTTGATTCATATAATCAATGGTTGGTGTTATTGATGATGGTTTTAAGTCCTGAAGATGTATCTAAAGTCAAATTGGGGAAATTGACACCTTTCACGTAAGTGAATATGAAGAATGAATTGATTTTTAAGAGGAATTTTATTAATTATAAAAATTTTTTTTTTCAATTTTAGAATGCAGTATCTTCGCGATATTAAGGATTTTTTAAATGTTTCATTTAAAACCGTATCTGATTCTACGTCTAATACAATAACATTGTCTTGTGTTGGTGTTGGATATGTTAATTACAACAAAAAAACTTCTTGATTTTAGTTTAAAAATAATAAAAAATAATAATTTATATCTTTAGTGCGTGAATTAGTATCTTGATCCTATTTGTACAGTGCGACAGTGTGAGTCACCTGGTCGCTCAAACTTTTTATTGGTCTTGCAGATCCTTTGAAAATGGAAATAAAACCAGTTGATATGTGCGACATACTGCGCTCCGATAGATATACTTCGATTTAGTAAATTGGCATCTGCTTTTACAAATATTACATCAACATTACATCGTATATACCTTGGCATATCACATGATTCGTCCAAAATTCTTTAAAAGCGTCATGGAGTAGAAAGTTATGATAATAATGATTTGTCATAAAAAATTTTCAACTTTTTCAATAATTAAATTTTTAACGAAATGGGAGAAGAAATACTTGATGTTATTGATCCGCTTCTAGTTTATACTATATTGGGTGGTTTCATACTTTTTTATGGCCTTGTTTCGTTAATTGTAAAAGAGAAACTGTTTTTAAGTGAAGCTTGTATGTAAAAATCCAAAACTTTTTATTAAGTGAGAAGCTTTTAATTCATTTCAACTATTAATGTATTAATAAATTATCATTAAAGTTGTTGCGACATTTGTGGGATTGATAGTTGGACCCGCTTGTTTAAATTGGATCAATCCAATGGTAAAAATTATATTTTATTTAGTACCGCTGTTATTATGATAATTTGTATTAAAATAAAAAAAATGATTAATATTGAAGCATTGGGAAAATAAAGATCAAGTAACTGAAGAGTTGACTAGAATTGTTCTTGCAATTCAGGTAAATGAAATAATGATTTCAAAAATGAAAAGACAAAATCTTTATTTTTACTTCAATTGATTATAATAAATAGGTTATGGCAGCCGGAATAAATTTACCGAGGTGATTGATCTATCTACTATTTTTCTTTTATTCTTCCTCCCCACACATAAATCATTTTTCTAAAATACTTAAAATGTTATATAAAATAGAGCTTATATTACACGTCAATTCACTTCAATGGCAATCATGTTGTTACCAGTTATGATATGGATGTGGATTACAAGTGCCGTTATAATTTATCATTTCATCTCAGAATTGACTTTTGTAAGTTTTATTTAAATTTAAATTGAATAATAATATATACTTTGAAAAAATGTAATTAATTGCCATTACCGTTGCAGTTAGAAAGTTTGTTAATAGCTTCTTGTATAACACCAACTGATCCAGTAAGTTGATACGAAATTATTGAACAATCTTATTAGTGCCTTTTAAAACTTTATTATTGTATCAACACTATTATAGATTCTTGCCAACTCTGTCGTACAAGGCTCATTTGCTGAGAAATACATTCCAAGCAATGTTCGTCATTTATTATCTGCTGAAAGTGGGGCTAATGATGGTAAGACTAATAAAATAAAGAATGCGCAAAAAAAAATAATAAAACTTGAACTATCCACAAAAAAAAACTATTATTATTATTAGGAATGGGATTTCCATTTATGTTTTTGGCATTATACCTATTACAAAAATCAAATACTACTGGTTCTGCAATATCACAATGGATATATTTTGTTTGGGGATATCATATATTATTCTCTATTGTAATTGGAATTGTAATTGGATGGGGTGCAAAAAAATTATTAGAAATAGCTGGATCAAAGTAACTTTAGGATTTATTCTGTTTATTTATAAACAATTTAAGATTTATTAATTCATACGGTTTTGGTTTTTTAGAAATTGGATTGATAAAGAGTCATTCCTAGTTTTTGCTATTGCACTCGCAGTAAGTTTTTATTAGAACTCTGATAATAATAATAGTAATAATAATAATAATTATTATTATTATAACTAAATGAATATGGTTGTTTATTTAAAATTTTGAATCATAAAGATATTTGTTGTGGGTGGTGTTAGTATACTTGGCTCAGATGCTTTACTGTCCTGTTTTACGGCTGGATCTATATTGGCTTGGGAGTAAGTATTTATATTGATATTGAATCTAAAACCAAATCAAATCAAGAAATTTAATAATTAATTAAAAACCACCACACAAAAATATAAAATATTATTGTAGTGATTGGTTTCGACAAGAAACTCGTGATGCACATCTACAAGAAGTCATTGATTTACTTCTCACTCTTACAACTTTTACATATATCGGGATGATAGTTCCATGGTCAAGATTTAATTCAGACATACTTTCATTACAGAGACTCATACCAATTAGCATCCTGATTTTAATTTTTAGACGATTGCCAATAGTTCTAACACTCAAAAAATTTATTCCAGCAATTCACACATTTAAAGAAGCAATGTTTGCTGGTTATTTCGGCCCCATAGGTGTTGGTGCGGTTTTTCTAGCCATGACAGTTAAAAATGAGGTTGAGAAAAGGGAAAATGATATGGATGCAAATATAGCAAATCGTACAAAAGATAATGTTTTTCCAATTGTTGCATTTATTGTTATTAGTTCGGTGGTAGTTCATGGTATCACAGTACCAATACTTAATATTGGATCAAGGATTGATATCGAACGACTTCCAACTATTGCTAGTATTAGTGATCAAGTTGCAAGACTACCGATTGTTGATTTTGTGGAAAGTTTATCTGTTGAACATGATGCTCAAAGAAGTGTACGTAAAAAAGAAAAAACAAGAGATGAAATTGTTAATTCGGATGAAGGTGATGACAGTGATCATGATGATAATGGTGAATATGAAGAAGAAGAACAACAACATGAAGAACATCATCAAAACCCACATCACGGAATAAGAATTGAAGAGGAGGAAGAAGGAATCGATGAAAGTGACAATAGTGTAAAAGATGAAATAAAGACCAATATTTTGATTGATCTTGGAAATGGTGATGATGAGGAAGTTGATAATCAATCACAATCTTCTGAAAACAAATTACCAAGCAGAAATTCTTCAGAATCAGTCGATAATATAAGTTCTGATTATAATAATAATAATCAAAATAATCAATAGTAGTTATAATAGTAATATTTTATTGTTAGTAAGTATTTTATTGAACAATTTATGAATATTTATACAAATATCATATTTTAGTAATATAGTAATATAATAGCAATCTGAAAATTTAATAAAAAAAGTTTATGGTAATTATTATCTCATATTTACATTTATCTTTGATATTTTAAGTTACAAACATCTAATTAATTTAAACAAAATTAATTAGTGTAAAGAAAAAAAGAAAATTTAGGTGTTATGAAAATGATCGCGTAGCATATAGAGTATTAACTTGACTTTTAATGTTAGTGTTAAGTTAATAGCTCTCAAAAATTTTTAATGATGCGAAGATTTATTCTATAATGGACCATTTGGTTTAGTATTAGGAAAAATGTCTGTTATAGAGAGAATCCGTTATAGACGGAATAATTTACATATTAACATTAATATAGGACTTAAATTGGGCTTAAATTCTCAGTCCATTATAGAACAAGATCCATTACTATTATTATCACATCATCATTTTCATTATCATCATTATCTTTCAGCTCAATTGTGTTGTCACAAATTTTTAACATTTCTAAAGGCACCTTTTTGTAAAATCCATACAATGAATGTATTCCAAATCTTTGTAGTGTCATCAATTAATTTTGGGAGAGCATTATTTTTAATTGGTGAAATAGGGTATTAATGAATTAATTTTTATTAGCAATACTTTTGTTTTAAGAAGATAATAATTTTATTTATTTTAAATTTCGCGGGAATGATGAAAAATAACAATGCCAGAAAAAATTTTTTTTAATATCATTATTAAATATTGCAAAGTTATTTTTACAGTAGGTCAGATTCAAGTTTCTTATATACATGTTCATTAATTAGTAGCCATATTGGCTCTATCATCACGAATTTTTACTAAATAATGATATGGCTAAATAAATAATAACGATATTACGAATTAATCAATAATTTTCAGTTAAACTAGTTACTGAAGATTTTTATAATTAAAAATTTTTTACATGAGCTTAAATTAGATGGAAAAGATATACTGTGTATATAAATATGTAATGTATAAATAAATAACTTGAAAAAAAAATTTATAATAATCAAGTAAATCTAAATATTCATATCCATTAGATGGGAAACTATAATGATAATTTATAACATAGTAATGTTAATGTTGATATTTGATATTGAATTTTAAAATTGATAATCAAATAATTAATAATAATTACCATCATTATTACCAATAATTGTTACTTTATTGGAATTCACAGGTTGAGGAAGACTTGTAAAATTTAATAATCTGCTAGTATAAACAGCATTTGGATGAATTACTGTGGTAATTGTTGATGGATCAAATTTTATTTCATCCATTTTTTCAAACTCTTTTTTAATTGATTCATATTTATCATTTTCATCCAAATCATATTGATGTGAATATCTCCAAATACTAATAATCTTATGAATTTCTTTAGCAGTTGGACGTTTATCTGGATTAGCATCCATACATTTGAATGCTAACTCAATATAGAATTTTGGTGTATTGTTTGAGAATCCAGGTCTTGCACCATTACATATTTTTACTGCAAGATATTTATCATGTGCCAAATTATTAAATGGTTGTTGACCAGTTGATACTACAGACATCAGAATTCCAAAACTGTATATATCTGATGCTGTTGTATATGGTTTCTTTTTTAAAACTTCTGGTGCAATATATGGTAATACTCCACATATATCATTTTTGTCTGATGAT